GGCAGGCAAGGCAAAAGCCAAAACTAAACACACGCTCAAGAAGCCTTCTAAGCTGGCGGAGAAGCAAGTCAGCCGTAGGCACCAGGCTCTGGAGAAGGAGTTCTCCAGAGTGCAGAGGCAGGCCGGGCTAGATTCAAGGCAGCTGGAGGATCCAGAAATTGATCTTCCCTTAGGACCATCTACTTCTGTCCAGGGCGTACGGTCTATTCCGGGAACTCTGGTTAACATAGGTTCTCCCCCTACTGTGGTCAACACTCTGTAATACCTCCAGGTGCAGTTTCAGAGTCCACAGTTACGCCCACGACTACGGGACTCAGGGGGGCGGACTTGGGAGACATCCTTTCTGACGGGCGCCTTGAGGCCTCGCTATCCAAGGTGGTGGACAGAGCCTTAGCCCAATGCTCGTTTCCCTCACCTGACCAGGGGGCTTCCACCTCAGCCATACCCCCTTACGAGGTTTACGCAGAGTTTCCCATGCTACAGGAGCCCATGTCTCCTGCACATTCTTCTATAAGCTGCAACCGGATCTTCTACTCTCATAGGAAGAGGAACTTCCCCCTGAACCCTCCACTTCGGGGGGGGGTCTCTTTAATTCCGCCCATTTCCAGTCAATCCTTCGTAAGGCCACAGTGACCGCTAACATAGGGTCAGATCAATTCCCTCAACCGCAAGTCGCGTCAGATACCGACCCTAATCCAATATTCTTTGAGGCGGTGGCAACCAAACTTCATGTTCCGTGTCCTTCCATCTTCCTTAAAGGGATTAAGAAGCCATGGGCTTCCCCGGCCTCATTTCCTTCCGTTAGTGGGACCGACAGAAAGTTATTCAGCACCTCCACTGTTCTCAGTGACGCGTTGGAGGTCCCTAAGGTAGACGAGGCTTGGACCCCTCTGGTATCCCAGATGGCAGTCACTGGGGACTTGACACACGCTCAAAGCGGACGATAAAAAATGGGAGCATACATTCAAGAAGACGCATCATTCAGCGGCCTGGGCAATTAAAACGGCCAGCTTGGCATCCTTTTTTGTCAGGGCCACCCTTCTTTGGCTGCGTCAGCTCCAGGCCAGGGTCCCCGCCGAGTACTTGCGTACCCATCAGAACCTAAGCAAAATGGTGGCGGCCACTGAGTACGCTGCGGATGCATCACTTCAGTCTGCTGTTTTTGCCTCCAGGTCCTTGGCTTCCAACATCACGGCCAG